AAATGGAGAGAAATAGCATTCACTGGGTCTATCTTTTCACTTTAAAGAGGATGTAGCCGAGATGTCAGGCCTGGGTAAAGGTTTTACTCAAAATCCGATATGGTATTGAAAAGAATCCAAGACTAGAATTGGGAACTCCTTGCTTTTAGGCCAAAGTTCTTCTACATTACTTCATAGGTTGTAATTTTTTTCTTTAATACTGATTTTCTTGGAGGGAGAGATAGTGTGTTTTACTTCTTTGTAGATCCAAATAACTCAGCCAGAGATCTATATGAGGCATAGCACCAAATAAAATTTGCTTAAACCAGGAAAATGAAATCTTGAAATCCTGAGGCAGTATCTACTGTGATTTCAGTGTTAATATTGGAATCTAATGGGAAAGAATGACTTAACTTATTGATGACATCTGCTAGTGACATGAGAAGAATGAATGTATGCATTATGTCAAATACATGGCTTTTTCCTCTTACCAATAATCAGTCCTCTTAAACATAGGAACTCAGTGGGAAGAAAATACATGGAGGCGAAAAAGAGAACATGAATCCCTATCCTGGTACTGGTACAGAAGAATTAACTCGAGCTATCAAATTTTCTTACTATTAACTTCTTTGTGATCCCCAAAGTTATGGTTATATAGGAGGAGCTCAGTAAGGACATACTAATTAATTAAAATTAGGATATAAACATATTTTCACAATCAAACTTTATATCCTTCTTTGGTAACCCTATGTCAAGAACTCAATAAGTGCTTTTTAATTCCTTAAGGAACAAAAATATGACCTTTAAAGCAGACCGTAATTCCCTAGATTGTCACGTACAATCTTGTTTGGCATAAAATCGACAATATTATAAACTGATGATTGTACTGATAGCATCTTCAAATTTACTTGAAGCACCCTTCAAAGTTGCCTAGGTGGTCCAAATGAAAAAGGGGGATTCAGAAAACCTTCCTGAAACATATGGGATATTATGAGTCAAATTGTGGGGGAAATTTGACTCCGCACGACTTCCATTGTGTATGTCATGCTTCTTCTGTAGGCTCAGCCTTCATGATGTCAGGAGTTCCAGGAGTCAGAATAGCGTGGGAGCATGGATCCAATATTGACTCATACTGAGTGGAAGAATTTACACCAGAGTCAGGATGAGATAATTCGGTTGTGAGTGCTAGGGATGTGACTGCTGATCAGAGAGGAAAAGGGCAACCAAGGTGTAAGTTTTGTCTTACTATCTACTCAATTAAGAATGAAGATAGCATGAGATTCAACTGAAATCTTGCTGACGCATACTGAATAATCATAGCCAGTTTTCAGAAAGACAGTCTAGCTGAAAAGAAAAAAGAAAGTTTTCAGCCCCTCTGTTTTACGAATATGGTCACACCTTGGCTCCTAGTGGCTTTGAAAAACTTAAAGGATATCTTGAGGGTGAATTATTCTGCAGTCTCAGTATTGGCTGAACCAAAAAGGTGTGAAACCTCTAGTTTGCATGTACAACATAGGTGTTTTACAGACAGAAAAGAGAGAGAAATTTCTTTGTTTGGAAAGTTGACAAGACAGGAAAAGGTCATAAAGGTATATATTGCTATAGTGACAACATTCTATACTAAAGAATTATATGTTCAAAGATGAAAACTTAATAGCAGATGATTTACTTCCTTGACTGGGTATAAGACCAGTTAGTTACATAATTTGCAGGAACTAATGCAAAATTAAAATATAGGCTCCTTGTTAAAAAATGATTAGGAGTTTCAAGAAGGTGGCAACAGAGCATTAAGCCATGTATGAGTTGTTCCAAGTTGAGGCCCCAACAGACTGCACAGGCTGTATGCTCATGACTTTGAATCCAGTGGGATGTCTGGCCAAGAATTTCAAAATCTTTGTTTTTAGTCCTCCTGTATTTTGAAGAGTTAAAGTGTGACTATCACAATTTCTACAGAAGAAAAAAAATTCCAGAAACCAAAGCCTGATAGAGGTTATTTATTTGAACTCACATATCTAACATAATTAGAGGAACATACAATTGCTTCTCGGCCTTTTGGCTAAGATCAAGTACAGAGGAACATATAATAAATTTAGTGGGTATTGACCAGTTAGGAGACGGGATGATTAAGGAATATATTCTGGTTTTAGACTCAGCTCTGCTTTGAGCAGCTGAATGAATTTAAACATATCACTGCTTTTTCTGAGTCTTGATTTACTAATCTAAAAAGTGAAGAGACAAATAATCTCTATAACAGTATCTGATCTCTATAATTCTGTGCTTGGTCATACCATCAAGAGTTGTTAGAGATTAGATTTTAGTCATGTAGTTACTTACTTAAACATCTGGTCACATTATGAACATATTCTTAATACATATTTACAATTCTGAGTAGGCACACAAATGCTGGAGCTGCATACAATTCACCATTATGGATATCATTATTCTTAACTCCTCTCTCCCAAAACTATATTCCAGTGGATGAATTGTGAAAAGGATAGAATTCACTTTTATGTATCTCCAGAAAGTCTGGAATATTTGCCTCTGTGACTCAAAGTTAGGTTATTGGTGTTCAGGAAGGTATTGAGTGCCAGCAGTCCGTCTCAAAGTTTTGGTAGGACTCTGCAAACACATCCTCTGGACCATGTTTTCCTTAGAAAGAACAACAATAAAGTTTTGTGTGAAGTAATATAATTTCCACATTCTTCACTTAAGAACAGGAGGCTTTGATCTCATGGCTATGTTCTGATTTTTAAAAAAATTTTGTTTATTCTTTGGAAAGATAGATCCTTAAAGACCTTTCTGTCTTTTTTTAAAACATAAAATAGGCTTTTTAAAAACATAAAATAATACATGGAATTGTCCTAGTCAGCAAGTGTTGGCTAAAGAAATGTAGCATCATGCTTCTAACATTAATAATAAATCTTATTTCATTAAAAATGAGTTTCCTACAGGTTAGTCCTGGTAACACTGAAATTAGAACTTGAGGCAAGTAACTCAAACCAGATCCTTAAGCATGCATTCAAATCTACATTCATTTCAGTGTCATCTATCAGAAAACTCCTTGCTAAAAAGTCTTAGGGAAGAAAAAAGATGTCATAGAAACAATGAAAGAATTTCTGATTTTAAGGAACTCAGTTAAATATTGGGAAAGACCTATGAGTAACTAATTCTAATATGAGATTGAGAGATCAGGACTCTAAGAAAAATATGAACCATGTGCTAGATCAATACAGAGAATATGAGATTAATTTTCAGTAAGATTATTTTGGGAGAACTCATGGAGATGGTGATTTTTAGGCTGGGCCTGGATGGTTGAGTACTATTTTGAGGGGCACAGGTGAGGGGAAAGGGAACTTAGGCCAAAGAAACTACATGAGCACAGTTCAGTGTGGATTTTAAGGAATAACTCGTCACTCAATATGCCTAAATAAAAATGGATAAGATTCGTTGAGGGATTACACTATGCCAGGAAAAATTCTTACCATTTTATGTGGATCATTTAATTTAACTCTTTGTATGTAAGGTTAAGCTTCCTGACAAGGAGCATAATTGTCAGGAAGCTTAACCTTACACACGATTTTCAACTGAAGCCTAGAAGGAGATACTGTTATTAAGCCTATTTTACAGATAAGGAAACTGAGTCATAAAAGAGTTAAGATGCTTACTCGATAGCCCAGAGCCAGACGGTAGTGGAGCCATAATTGGAAGTCTGTGTCCATAACCACCATACTTCAGTCTACACAATGTAGTTAGAAATTAAGGTAGGCTGGAACCAAAGGGTCTACTGCACCATCCTTAAGTGCTGTACTTGATACATTTTGAAGAGGGAAGGAGGAATTCTGGGGGGTTTTTTAGATGAAAAGAAATAAAAAGTTAAAAAATGTCTCCCTTGTTATTGATTATTTGGAACTGTTGATTGTCTAGAGGCACACTGTTCATTATAGTGGCTGCTAGCCACGTGTGGCTATTGAGCACTTGAAAACATGGTTAGTCCCAATTGTTTCCTTTTTATCTTCTCTGCAGTGGGGGTTGAAATAGGGCTTCATGTGTGCTAGGCAAGTGGTCTGCTATGGAGTTACATTCCTAGAAGTTAGTCCAAATTGAGATGTGCCATACACACAAAACATACACTTGACCTTAAAGGTTTAGAGTGACAAAAACAATAGAAAATATCTTATTAATAATGTATATTGATATATATTGAAAAGATACCTTGTATATGTTGAATTAATACAATATTTTAAAAAATCAATTTTTACATGTTTCCTCTTTACTTTTATTAGTGAATTTACTAGGTGATTTAAAATTACCTACGTGACTTGCATTATATTTCTATTGGGCAGTGCTGGACTAGAGTAATTTGAAACTTGTGGTAGATATTTTACTAGCCAATTCTGAGGAAGGACTCTCTTACCACATTGTTTTATTTTAACCATACTCTTTCTTTGCTTTCTGGTCATTTGCAAGAAAAATTTGAAAAGACTTCCCCTTTGTAAAGGTTTGTGAGGCCCTAGAATTTCCTTTTTCACTTGTTCCCAACCACAAGCAAATGATCAATATGCTCTGTGGATGAGGAGTCAGGTTTACAAGGGTAAAAGGGGGAGATGCAGAAAAATTTCCAGTCCTTGAATGGTGTGAAGTAAAAGTGTTTTCAAAGGATCTCACAAGAATGGCACAAGTGGGCACAATGGGCCTGTCTCATCGTCAAAGGACCCAAGGAGTTGAAAGGAAACTCTAACTACAACATCAAAATGCCACAAAACCATAGTTATTAATACAAACTAACTTGCATCCCTGCCTATCTGTCACCATCTCATCTTAAAAAAAAACTTGTGAAAATACGTAATCCTAATGAAACTTCAATAGGTATAAATACCAACAGCAAAAGGAGATGTAGTACATTGTTCTGATCACCTGAAGATCAGCCATTAGAAAGGAAAGCTCAGCGAAGTCCTTTGGACCTGATCGACTTAATATAGGAGCTACTGATTTCATTTTCTTTAGCCCAATTCTCTGAGACAATGAAGTATACAAGTTCTTTCTTGGCTTTTCAGCTCTGCATCATTTTGGGTTTCTCTACCTATTATTGCGAGTCAAGATTTACAAAAGAAATAAACATTCTAAAGGACTATTTTGTAAGTATTTTCTTTTAATAATACTTGCTTATGGTAAAAAAATGACTGAATGTTGACTTATTTTATCTGATAGACTGTCATCTCTAGTCCAAAGTTCTTTTGAGAAGATGTGATGCTACTTTGCTGATTGTTGGTGGGATGTTTCTTGATTAAATAATCTATATATTGCTTAACCTTCCGCCCAATTTGATATAGAGACTTAGAGGGGATTCATGAATCCTTCAAAAGATGGGCATGATATGGGTATAAAGCATAATGGTTTCGATAATTTTGTGGCAAAAGTCCATAAAATTATGGTAAGTTAAATAGTGTTCAATATTGAAAAAGTGATTGACTATTAGTTTCTGATCTCCCAGACTACTAGGAAGGTGACAGTAAAAGGTCAATGTTAGCATTAAAATAGCGATAGGAAAGAATGTATTAATTAAAGTAAAAGAAGGTGAAGTTCTTGAAGTTTTGGCTCATAGCTGTTTTCTTCAAGAAGTGATTTCAAAATTTTAGTACTTCATGTATATTACCTATGAATTATTCCTGAAGTCTGTCACTTGCTGAGATTTTGTGAGGATTCTGGATTAGGGTTTTAAATTTTTTTGTTTTATATTTCTTTTTAAATTTTATTTATAGTTAATGCAAATAGTCTTTTCGTTTTGAATAATCTATTATTTATCCAAAATTTAGCTCTTATAATAATGTTCAAGCATTTACAATCTATTTTATTCTTATGGTGTAAATCAAATCTCTCTCAAACATATGTACCTAGAACTACTTTTTAAAAAGTGACATGATAATACCTTTCAGGAGGGTACCGGTAGATGTTACCAAAATCTGTACCATAGGGGGGCAATATATTTTAGTGGGATGACTTTGCTATGGGTGTTTTTTTTCCAAGCTTGAAGATACTTTTTTACTTTTTATTTTTAACTTCTCACTATAGTTACTTGGGACATTTGAAGTGTCACCAGTCTTGTTGAGATCATTTATGACTTTGCAATTTAAGAGTTATACTAGTAACTGAGAAAGCTGAAAGAGGACAATAGTCTTTGGCTAAATCTAGCATAAAAGCTTTTAGGAATATTTATTGTTAGAATGAAATAGAAGGGTCGAAAAGGAAATCAATGACTGTTTTCAACATCTGAGTTCAATGAAGCTTACTGGGTATTTTTAAGACAATTTATGGACTAATTATAAATAAACTTTTTCATCTTTTCTCAGAACGCAAGCAGCTCAGATGTAGGAGATAATGGAACTCTTTTCGTAGGCATTTTGAAGAATTGCCAAGAGGTAAACTGAGCATTCCCATTTGGCTGATATGTTGCTTATTTTCTGATGAATAAATTCACATTGTCTTCTCTTAATGCTCTTTTCTCCCAAGGAGAGTGACAAAAAAATATTTCAGAGCCAAATTGTCTCCTTCTACTTCAAACTCTTTGAAAAATCCGGAGGCAACCAGATTGTCCAAAAGAGCATGGACACCATCAAGGAAGACATCATCGCTAAGTTCTTCCACAGCAACAGCAGCAAACTGGACGTCTTCCAAAGCCTGACTCGAATTTCAGTGAGCATATTTCAATTTTTTGTTTCATGGTAGAAGCTTTTGCACAGAATTTAATTCTCAGGAAGAAGAAATTAGGTACTTAACATTTGCTAAGGCTATGAAATGAACCTATGGCTGAAATTTTTCCTTACTAATTCCACACGTTTTGGGTGATTTTTAAAAGTCAGTATAGGAGTCATTTAAATGTTACTTGGAAGAACACAGGCATTGAAACTGTTACATAGAAGGCAGGTGAATGGATAAATCCAGCAAGAACGAAGTAGAGGAAGTAATAGAGGGAAGTAGTGAGAAGTCCTCTCATTGTTTGTTGCTTGTGTGATGGAAATTCTCTTGCTTTGGAGGAAAGGCTGTGTGTCTTATGGAAAGAGCAGTGGGAGGGGGTGAGAAAAATTGTTCTTCTCTTAATTTGGCCACCAAGGTACTGTGACATCAAATGAATCACATGCCTGGCTGGGTCTCAGTTTCCTCATCTCAAAAGGAACCTACTGAGTTATTGCATAAGTTCTATAGTCACCTTGCTCTAAAAATTCACAGTGCTATGTGTGGAAAATGAGAGCACAGAAAGGTGTAAACTTTGGGGAGGCAGCAGAGTCATCTTACTGTGATATCTGGTTACCTCTCAGATTATGTGGCCCAATTAAAAGTGAGAATGCTCTTTTTTTTTAGGAAAAAAATTTACAACTTATTAAAGGATTGTTCCATTACAGATTCTAATAATCCATTCAGATTCTAATAATCTCAGGTGGAGAAATCCCTAGGCTCCTCATTTTTATCTCATAAAATTGTCTTGAGGCCTTAAATTAGGGCTTCTAGAACCTGAATGATAAATTTGAAGCATAAAGACATCATGTTTTCCAAACTTTATGTACAAGACAAAGGTCTCCAAAATCATTTGGCTTTGACTTTGATGTAAATGGGCTGGAATGAGAGATATGGCTTTTGTTATGGCTTGTGCCCTGAGGATTTGTGCCCAGGCTTTCACTATATCTGCCTGTCTCCTGTCTTGTGTAAGCTACCAGGGTCAGAAAGGAGAAATGGCACTAGATTTCACTGGGCCATAGGCTAGAGACTGAGAAAGCACTTGATTCTGACTCGGTGCTGCCCTGGCTTGCTTTCAGTCTTGGATAAGTCTCTTAAGGTCTTATTGGCAGATTCAAAGTTATTACATGAGCAGAACTCAATCCCATCCTTCCCCCACTTCACTTCAGGCCTTATTTCATTATATAATTTTGACAATTCTGTAGCAGTAAAGTTAAGGACATGTGATGTATCCCACCACATGATGGCAAAACTGGCAATTCAATTATCATTGTAGCCTCACCTGATAAAAAGTGAATATTGTATATTAATATATTATGACTCAGAGTCACTTTTTAAAAAAGAAATACCTCCATTTTCATTGACTATGATATTGAAAGGTGAGTATCTGGATGACTCATATGCCTGAAAATAATTTTGCTATTTGGTTTCCATTAGGTAGATAATGTGGATTTCCAGCGCCGAGCCATCATTGAACTCAAAAAAGTGATGGATGATCTGTCTCCGAACCAGCGGAAACGAAGAAGGAGTCAGATGTTGTTTCGGGGCCGGAGAGCATCTAAATAAGTGTCCTGATGCTTACAATATTTGAATTCTTAAATCAAAATCTATTTATTAATATTTAAAATTATTTATATGGAGAATATATTTTTACTCATTAATCAAGAAATATTTAATAGCAACTTTAATATAATGAAAATGAATGTCTATTAATATATATATTATTTATGATTCTAGTATACTGTAACTATTCCTTTTGTCCCTTTATCCTTTCTGACTAATTAGGAAGACTGTGTGATGCTCCAGCTCTATCTCAGGGGCCAGCTAAGCAGCTGACCTGAGCAAGACCCTGGGGGTTGTGTATTTATTTCATTTGATGATACAAGAAACACTTATAGATAAAACCACACCATCTAGTTGCTGCCTATTTGAGAACATGTCTGTATTCTGAGCCAGTGCTTTAATGGCATGTCAGATAGTACTTGAACATGTCAGGTGATATGGCCTGTCCCTTGGTAAAAACACAGCATCTCAGGAGTTTTCACACCTGGTGCTTCTAAATATTGCTGACAACTGTGATTGAACCCAAATGGAAAGTAACTCATTTGTTTAGTTTATCAATTTCTAATACATATGAATAAAGTATAATTTTAAAAATACTCATGCTGCGTCAGACTTTTTTCTTAGTGAGGACCTGGGCAAATGAACCACATACTTAATAATTAGAAGGAAGACAGTAATTTTTAGCAGGGAAATCTTAGCATTGCATTAGGCTCCTTTCAAAGTGATGTTTTCCTCTGGTAGCAATTTATTGGCTTTTGCTGCTCCATTTGGCAGCTATTTGAATTATGTTTCCAAGATATAGATTTAATTATGACACCATTCTATTCAGAGCTCTTGCTATGCAAAGTAGTCCAAACTGCTTAGGTTGGCATACAGAAATTTATTTCTATACTTTCGTTCCATCTCCTTACCCTCCCTCAATTTGGTGTCTTCCTTCTTAACCCACTTTGGGAAAATACCATTGAGTATGAGAGTAGAGAGGGAGAGGGAAAGGGATGGAGCGAGGGAAGGGAGGGAGGGGGAGAGGGAGGGAAGGAGGGAAGGAGGGAAGGAGGGAGGGAGGGAGAGAGAGAGAGAGAGAGAGAGAAGAGAGAAACCTGGATTAGAATCTGGGTATGACATTGCAAGGAGTGTGATCCTTAATGAATTATTTATATTTTCTAAGCTTCAGTGTTCTTGCCTGCAAAAAAGAAGTAATTGTGTCTTTCTAATAATACATGGTGAGAGTTTATTTTATCACTCAGAAAGTATTTATTGGGGATACCTACTATGTGCCTAAATGCTTAAAATACCTTAGTCATGGGGAGTTTGAAATTGAGCCAGGAGGAAATAGACAATGAACAAAATATATAATACGTAAATAAATTACATGATGTTAGAAAGTGATTGATGTAGGAAAATAATAAAAGTAGCACAGAATGAAGGAACTGGAAATACTGTAAGTGGGGTAAAGTCGATGGGCTAGAGGTTTAAATCAAGTGACTATAGTTGCCTTCATTGAAAACATTTGAAGAAGCACTTGTAAGGGAAGTACATTTGTATTATATCAAGAGGTATACCCTTGCAAAAAATTCCAAAGTGGAGATGCTTGGTGTTAACAGAGCAGCCAGCAGAACACAAGGGTGGAAAAGAAAAACAACCACCATTTAAGGGGGACATAGGGGAAGTGCCCTTAGGAAAGAGCCAGTGTATCTTTTAAGTAGGAGGAGGTTGGGGGTACAATGAGTTTAGTGGACTGTGAATTACAGAAGACTCAGTAAGCTGATGTTAAGACAAGAGGTCATGAAAGGAAATGTGTGTAGGAATGTGTGGTGAGTTTGGACTTCTTTCGATTACTGACATAAACAAGGATAGTGCAGATAATGAGATAATTTCTCCTGGTTTTGGGACATATCGTGTTGATACAAGAGGGTGTCAAGGACAGAAGAGGCTGGGTGTTTAGATTACCTTCTTAATGGTTTCAGTTGGCCCTTCCACAATAGTAGGATCCAGGGAAATTGTTTAAGTAAAGGGATCATTTTAGTCTTTGATCACTGAGTAACAGTGGATGAAATCTGATTTCAAAAGTTTTACATCTTTGATGAGAAAAAATAGAAAAATATCTAGGCTAATTTTGGTATGATTGTAACTGATATCAGATGTTGTCATTGTCTTTACTCTTGTTAGTACTCAAGATTGACTGATATGGACTCTATGATATCTATAGATGGAGGGCTATTGTGAGATTGTCCTGTCTACAGCATAGAACCAGATCATACCTCTGGGGAAGGCATTAGGAATTCTTGCTGCACATCATTATGAGAAGTGATTAATCATGCAATTGGAAATGAAATTAAAGGAATCATTAGTCTAGGACTAGGTAAAATTTGGGCTGGACTCTGAGACATGGAAAGAAATAAATTGTGTATGTGGTATGATGGTAGCAGAGAGTGGAACGGGGGAGAGGTTCTTTAGAGAATGTGACTGGAGACGGGCCTATGCAGTAGTTATAAATGACTGTATTGTATTGTTCTTCTTTTAGGTCATGTCTTTCATGCCATGTCTCAGACATGTCATGGGGCTTGCAGAAGGGACAAACTATGCTTTAGTCTCTGTGACCTGGGAGCTGCCAGGATTTCTCTCCTAATGCTGGTAGGGGTAGGTATCTCTCTAGGATCAGGGGCACTGGCCTGCAAGAGAATACATACATGCAAATGTGCAAGAGAATACACACATACATATGAATACATATATGTACGAACATACCTATTCATATGAATACAGATATGTATCACACATGTATGAATACATACATACATATATGTGCATAGATACTTATATGTGTATGTATGTAGTCTCACCCTTAGTGACTTTCAGAGATAGCTACTACATTCCGAATAGTGGTGTAATTTTTGATTATTAGATTGAAAACTAGACATCAATTTCCTTTTTCTCTTCCTTTTTTCTTCTTTTCCTAAGCTTTCCCATTCTGAACAATATAATTCTAAATCAGCTAGGTGCACCAGAGTAAGGTATTCACCTGTGGCTGCCCAATGTGGGGAGTAAAATTCAGAGTGCAGTGGAAGCGTGCACATGTGGGGGAAACCTGGCCTGGAAAGTGTTGGGCTTGAGCAGAATGAGAAGAGTGTTTTAGAAAGGGAAAGAGAAAATATTTCTTTTCTGTTGCCTTTGTAGTAAGTGACCACAAACTTAGTTGCTTAAAATAATACACACTTTTTATTTGACACTTTGAAAGTCAGAATACAAAATTAGGCTCAGCGGGTTAAAATCAAAAGATCAACAGGGTTGTATTCCTGGTGAAGGCTCCATAGGGAATTTGTTTCCTTGCCTTTTCCAGAGTGTGGAATTGGCTGAATTAGTGGTCTCCTCTTCCTTCAAAGCCAGCAGTGTAGCATTTTCTAATCATTCCCCCCACCCCGTTTCCCTCTTACAAGGACCCTTGTGATTACATTGGGACCACTTGAATAATTCAGGATAATGTCACCATCTCAAGATTTTAAACACTGGAAAAGTTCTTTCTGCCATATAAAGTAGCATTCACAAATTTTGGAAATTAAGATATAGACATCTTTGGAGAGCCATTATGCTGTCTATCACAGAGGGGCTGTCTGAACAAGGGTAGTCAGAATGTGAGCAAAACACATGCAGAACAGCCTGATGCAGGACTCACAGTCCAAGCAAGATATGGAGGTCATCTATGTGTTTGAATGGTCCAGCACGAGGAGTCAGAGTGGAGTAGTGCATCAACACAGGAGAAGGTGTGTTAGTACAGATGAAATATTGCTCCTCACAGAGGACTGATTAAGTAAATATATGAAGGATAATGGGAGCTTGGCTGCTCATTGTTGAAGTTACAGTTCAGAAAGGGAGAAAATGATAATAAACCATACAATACTGAATTGGATGTATCAGTATGAACCTATGATCTTCAATATAGTGAGAAATAGAAAGAAAAAATAGATGTAAGTATCTGTTTGCATGTATATTCCTTGACTCTATTCACTGAGGGGCCTGGGAGAAACAACATCTCAGTATCAATGAGGACATCTAGTGCCCATGTCTTGATTTCTAACTATTATTTTCTACTAAGAAGAACCACAACTTTTTGGAGAATTGGCTACTTTCAGGGGTGGGGTGGGAAAGTACCAGGAGTGCCTTACTGGGTTAGAAAGTGAGAAGTATTCAGACAATACTAAAAGCATGGTTAAAGCCACTGAAACCAGCTGGAAGGGAATCCTACTGGTCAAATATGGGAAAATTTGAGCAACAAAAATAATGATGGGCAATGTATTATAACGTACTTAGCTGGGTAAAATTTCTACCCCTCTCTGAGACTGGTGTCAGTGTGACCCCGACTCTGAGGCAAGGAAAGATATAAACTGTGTTATGTGGTATGATGGTAGCAGAGAGTGAGACAGGGAAAAGATTCCTTGGATACAATAAAAATTCAAGTGCACATTCTGATATAAGTGAGTAAAGTGAAAGGTTGAAAAGGAATGGAATATTTACATAGTTGCTAGTTACTTCACCATAGATACCTATTGACTCGAAATTGGAAGAGAGTAACTTTATCATGGATAATCCTAGAAGATACCATCTTAAGGGATAAAAGTGAGTATCATTCATAACAGGATAATTGAAAATGACATGTCCCCTGATAGGATGCAATAAAATGAACACAGCAAACCCTCTGTGATATCCCTGTGAAAGATGCTTAAACTATTTTTATCATGAAAAAAACATTATAAAAGCAAGCAAGTTGAGGAAAATTCTATAAAATATATGGTCTGTAGTATTCAAGTATCAATGTCTTATAAGTTAAGGAAAGACTGAGGAGTGAGGAACAGTTCCATTCTGACATGGATTAAAGAAGTCAATGCAATATAAGTTTCTGAACTGGATCCTTTTTCAACAGGAGTTATTTTTAGAACACTTGGTAACACCCGAATAAGGTATATACCACTAGAATTGATAGTAATATATAAAAATAAACTTCTTGATTT